CCCCCCCCCACTCTCCCCACTCCCTCCCCACTCCCACTCCCCCCCCCCTTTCCCCCCGCACTCCTCTCCACAACCTCTCCACAACCTCCCCTCCAGAATGCGCCCCGCCACGGCTCTGCTGGCTCTTGCAGCTCTAATCGTCCTGGCGCTGCCTGTGCCTGCAGTCGAGGTCACCACGGTGCTGCTCCCGCCAACGCCGATCCTTGGCCTGGGCGTCAGCACCCTCTCCCTGCAGCCTGGCGGAGAGTACTTGGTGGCAACCGACATGGCCGGCCAGGTGTACGGCGTGGACATGACCGGCCCGAGCCCGGCTTTGGCCGCCACGGGCATCCTTAGCTTTGACGTCCCCTTCTGGTCGCTCAAACCCTTCTACTCGCTGCCGTCTCCACCTGGCTCACGCCCTGGCCCGGGCCCAGGTCCATCCACCCTCGTCTTTACCGAGTCGTCGGTCATTGGGGTGTTGCCATCGACCGCGTCAACGCCACTCATGGCATTGTCGTCACGGGCATGGTGTTCAACGCCTCGGACGTTATTCCGCCGAGTATGGGTGGTGGGTACGTGCTCGACGCCGCCCGTCACACTCTGTACCTCACCGGAGATGCCTCCGTTGTGGCCGTCGACGTGCGGACCTGGCAAGCCGGGCGGACGTTCGAACTGCCTTACTCGCACACTGAGGTCGAGCCGCTCTCAGGCATTCTGTTCTCTGATGATTTGGCGCTCTTTAGCGCCTCGTCCGATCGCGATGTCGGCGCCCACAACGGGTTCGCCCTCGCCCTCGCCCTCCCGCCGGCCCCAAATGAGCAGCTCTCGGTGGTGCCGCTCGACACCGGCGCCGGCTGGCCGTTCCATATTGCGCGGACCAAGGACAACACGCCGCTCTTCATCTCAACCAATGGCACGTCCATCGTCCCGGTCCTCGACCACCACCGGACCCCTTTCGTCAAGTCCGGCCCGTTTGTCCACATCCCCAAGAACCAGGGCGAGCTCTCGGAGCTCGCCTGCGACGTCGCACCCGGATGGGTTGTCACCCTCGCCAGCAACGTTTGGGTCTCCATCACTTCGTCCGACGCTAGCTCGCCGCCAGAGTTCTCGGTCCTCTCACCTGACGTCCACAAGTACGATAGCAAGGCCATGCACTCGTGTACCGTCATCCGGGACGAGTCCGGCATCGCCACCCACATCGTGGTCGGCGGCGTGCTCCTCGGCTCAACCGGCCACAACGGCAATGCCATCCAAATCGTCAAATTCTAACATGTACCCCAAGAACAGGACAGGGGAAGCGTGAGTGCGTGGCGGTGGGTGGCGGCATCTGTGACCACGGCAATTTTCTTCACCGAAATTGCCGACAGGTTGCATCGCATGTTGAGAGGGAGGGGGAGGGGGAGGGGGGAGGGGGGCAGTGGAGGAGGGAGAAGGGGAGGGGGAGGGGAGGGAGAGGAGGTGGAGGAGCACCACTGCACTCTACCTCTTCCCACACACACCCCACACACACACCCAACACACACACACACACACACACCATACACCCCATACACACCCACGCCGCACACACACACCCCACACCCACACACACGCCTGACCACCACCACCACACCACCACCACCACCACCACCACCACCACCACCACCACTACCACCACCACCACCACCACCACCACCACCACCACCACACACTCTCTCTCAGCATGGGCTGCGGAGGCTCCAAGGAGGACGAGCCACCGCCGCAGCAGGCAGAGGCTTCGGCTGCCCAGCCGCAACAGGCGCAGCCAGGCGCCACGGATAGCCCCGCCGACGCACGCAGCCCACAGTCGGAGCAAACTGCTGCTCCGCTGGCTACAGAAGACACAGCAGGAGATGCTCACAAGAGCGACCAGGGCGGGAAGAGCCCGGTGGCGCCAGTTCCGCCGCCGAGACCATCAAGACCGAACTCGCGCCCGGTGGCGCCCGAGGAGATCGAGCTGGACATAGTAACGGTGCTTGCCGATCCTGCTGCGCCTGCTGCCGACAGCACCCTTGCGGTGCCACCGACCGTCGACCAGTCTGAGGTCATGGCCACCGTCGACGAGTTGACCTCGGGCATCTTTGACGACGACGACACTGTTGACATTGCCGCGCTGACTGGCCCGCCCAAGCCCACTGCAGGCCCGCCACGCCCCACCGCCGCACCCGGTGAGAACTACGGCCTGCAGACCATGGGCGAGACTGACGAGATTCTGCGCCTCATCGCCCAGTCGGCCGCAGGCACCCCGACCGCCGCAGCCTCGTCAGGCCTGGGCTCGCCCGCCCTCGGATTGCCAGCAACAGGCACCTCTGCACTGTCTGGCGCACCGGCTCCGCGCCGCCCGCCGGCCCGCCGCTCTTCGCCGACGACGCCTGGCCCGCCGCGCCCAGGTGGCCCGCCGCATCCCGATGGCCCGCCGCGCCCAGGTGGCCCGCCGCGCCCTGGTGGCCCGCCGCGCCCAGGTGGCCCACCGCGCCCAGGTGGCCCGCCGCGCCCGGGTGGAGAGTCCGCCGTCCCTCCCGTCGGCCTTGCCACCGCTATGGAGACTGACGATCTGCTGCGGCAAATCGCAGAGCAAGCCCGTGCTGCCGGTGCAGCAGCCGCCAACCCCGACAACACCACGCTGTAGGCCGTGTGCCGCAGCCCGTAGGCCGTTGAGCAGGCAGCAAGCCCACCATCGCTTGCTTCCACATTATCGCCCACCTCTGTACATGGACGTGTATCAATCACGGCATACAAGCCCCGATATAAAAGCCCTCCCCCTCCCCCCCCCCCCCCCCCCATTTTCCCTTTTTCCCTTTTTGTTCCTTGGGGCGGGCATGGGTCACGGGTCTCATGGGCGTCGGAAACACTTGACGCTGGAACCTTTTTGGGGGGCGGTGTCCCACCTCACCGAACGAAAGAGGACTC